CATTTGGCTAAATTATTGGATGCGATTAATTATTGGACTTATTCTGGAAAAAAGAAGCCAAAGAAGTTCAATGTTACAGTTATCAGAGACGAGATCGCGCCACAACAAACGCCGGAAGCCAAAGGGGATTGTGGTCCTCTCGTATGCATTTGCTTGGAGTATTTGACGACAGGAAATACACAGTTTCTACCTCCCACCGATAGAGATAGAGGTGCAGTAGGATTGTGGTTTCGGCATTTTATGGCTAGAGCGATATATGCGAGACGCTGCCTACCTGCATCCGCGTTATGAAAGTGTCCATAAACAATTTGTAAGTCAAATGCAAGTGTTGTTAAGTACCTAGAATTCAATAATAATTTGTTGTTTGTTGGTTTTAGATGTGTAGAAGTGTTATTTGAGCAAATGTTTGGTTTCTGCAGGTTAATCCTAAAGTGAGCTGCGTGAAATTGATGTATGGGTGCATAAACAACTGTCTGGGGTACACTTTTTTTTATTGTTTAATTGATTTTTAAAAGTCTAATTTGTTTAATTGATGAGGAAAATAAGAATTATTAGCATTTTTGCTTGTTTAATTTATTTGTAAAAAATTGATTTGTAAAAGTTGATTTGTTTAATAGTGATGTGTAAATAATTCTTATTTGTGCTTGTTTAATTGATTGAAATGTAAAAGTTGATTTGTTGATTTCAATCTGCATCATATTGAAGGCAAAAGACCTGTTGAAGGTACACTTTCGCAACGCTAAACTCAAAATCGCAATACGAAAGCCAAAATCGCAACGCGAAAGTCAATTCGCGTTGCGATAGTCTAATACGCTTTGCGATTTTCTCGTTATGATAGTTAAATACCCGTTGCGATAGTCAAATTCGCGTTGCGATTTTTGCGTTGTGATAGTCATATTCGCGTTGTGATAGTCAAATTCGCGTTGCGATAGTCAAATTCGCGTTGCGATTTTTGAGTTACGATAATCAAATTCGTGTTGCGATAGTCAAATTCACGTTGCGATATTCAAATGAATGTGTAATAAGTGATAACAACTGAACAAATCATAGCAATCTTCAAACTCAAGTTACTAATACATGCCTAACTGAAAATGTTAAAAGTTTACACATAAAATACACATAATAGTCAAATTCGTATTGCGATATTCAAATGAATGTGTAATAAGTGATAACAACTGAACAGATCATAGTAATGTTTAAACTCAAGTTACTAATACATGCCTAACTGAAAATGTTAAAATTTTACACATAAAATACACATAATACAACGTTTGCATTTAAAAATCACCTAAGTTAATAGTCCCAAAAAGTGAAGCCGGTTGTGATTGCGATTTTGATTTTGATTGCGATTTTGATTGCCTTTTTCTTGACACCATATGAGCTTTGGATTTTGATGAGGATTCATACTTTGGTAGAGGAAAAGATGATTGTGATGGCACTGGTGATCCACATGTCAACCTTGTATGACCACTTTCCTTGCACCGACTATATGTCGATATCTTCTTCTCTTCACCCTTAGACGGTATACGATCGTGACTTTTTGGTTGGCCAGGTAGCCTTATGTCCATGGCTGGTGGCAAAAATGTTTGTAAGTCATCTGGTATGCCCCACTCAGAAGGATGTGGAATAGAGTAGATAATCTCGGCATAAGTCTGTCGATATACTTCTGTAGTGTAGCAATCCATAGCGTATGCGCTTGAATCATCTTGGTTTAGATGAAGAGCAACTTTTATAACATGGCCACATGGATAACCAGATGTTTGCCATTTCATACAACTACACGTCTTTGCATTTAGATCGACAAGCCCATTTAAGTTATTATCCAGTACTTCAAACAAAGTGTTTGAACATGGTTCAACTCTCATGACGTTGACTTCACAACACGTTTCGTTATCTTTTTTTCAGTCCATGGTGTAACACGATGTTCCAATATTCCTGTAAATTTAAATAAATAATACTTAGTAAAATATATGATAAGTTACGAATTTAAAGAAATAATACATGCATGTTTCTTTTCTTGTAGTACCACTGTTGAATAGAGGCTCGAAAAAACTCTATTAACATAGTAATGGGTTATTTCCGGGAATGACGACTTAGAGTGTTGATTGATTCTTCACTATTAGACGTCATGAAACCATATCTTGCTCCAAGTTGATGTACTCTTGACCATCTTTCAAACCCGACATCTTCTAGTGTTTGAGCACACTGAGGCAAAACACGTCTTAAACAATTTATATGCTTATTAAAATCCACTTCCTGATAAGCTTTTACAGCCTTCCAGTATGTCCATTTGTGATTTTTTATACTAGCAGACCTTGATTTTAGATTTCTATACAAATGAACACCACAAAGTCCATGAAAAGCATCTGGGAAACACCTTTTAATAGCGTTGTCAATTGAGTTTGCCCTATCGGATATGATTGTCAGATTGCTAATAGGACCTATGCAATCCCTAAGATGTCCCATAAACCATGTCCATGAATTAGAGGTTTCGGAATTGCCAACCCCGTAAGCTATTGACAGTATCACATTGTTAGCATCCATGGCTACTGCTAATAAGTTTACTCCAAGGTATCGACCTTTTAAATGTGCTCTGTCAATTATAATAACTGGGCGCATGCAAGTAATAAACGAACGAATCTACAAAATCATATACACAAGAAATATAATCATTTAAATGTGAAATGCATTTAACTAACAAAAATGAGTCAACAAAATTATATTGATTTACTAACCGCAGCACCAATGGCGATAAACAACAACTCAAAGCGTCCATCTCTATCTATTTTGATATGAGTTACCGACCCAAGATTTTTCAGCTTTAAATTGTGACAATAAGCCGGCAGTTGGGCAAACGATGCTTCTGGTGACCCCTTCAACAATTCCAAGGCATAACATTTGGCTCTCCAAGCTTGAGAATATGAGATACTAATCTTGAACCGAGCATTCATGTCAGTCATAATTTCATGTCCCCGATATACCCTGCCATTCAAAAACATTAACTCAGCTAGAAAACCACCCAAAACCTTTTTGTTTGCCTGTCTATGGTGAGGAAAAACTTAGGTTCTTGAACATGTATGTTTATCAAAAAAGTCCTAACTTGAAACATTTTGCAATCTTTTATCCTCTTTGCAATCATACACCACGTACAGTTTTTGTCAATCATACACCTTGTTTCAAAACGATCTTTGCTTGATTTGTTAACTTTTAGTTGATAGCCATCTTCCACACATTTCGTATACAAAGCTATCTTCAAGTCTTCCTTTGTATCAAAACAATCATCTTTCTTGATACGAATAATTTTTGTGTAACAATCAACTGCTATTTTTACCAACTCTTCTTCCGGTATCTGAAGTAATTCTGGCATATTCCAGTTATACTCCCGTGGCATTTTTTTCGGGGACTTTTCTTCGGGGATTTCTTCTTCTTCTTTTTCTTCTTCAGGGTTATATGAATTACAGAATGGATGTTCAACATGTTCATTCACAGTCATAACTTCCTCCTCATTATCATCAACAACATCTTCCTCGGCAGCGGCTGTTTCATCATCAAAATTCGGGTATTGACCAATATCAAAATCATTACACGAAGGGTATGTTTCTTCTTATGAAACATCATCAAAATCCGAGTATTGACCAAGATCAAAGTCCGGGTATTGACCAATATCAAATTTCGAATACCGACTAGTACTCACAATTTTTTATGTTGGCTCATCATCGTCTAACTGGTTAATACGAAAAACGGAATTTGGTGCTAAAAGTTGATTGGGATTTGGATTAGGGAAAGGTTGTGGGTTTTGAGATTGTGTTTGATATTGGAAGTGTGGTGAAACAAAATTTGCTTGGTGATGAAATTGTGGTGGAACCATTAAATTTTGAGCACCATAAACTGGGGTTGAAAAACTTAGTTGATTACTACCCGCTACTAACCCAACTTCACTACTTCTAGGTTCAACAACATACAATGTAACATCATCTTGCGAAACACTAATGTAAGCAATGAATCGTTCAACATCTTCATTGTCGGTTAACAAATAAACTTTACATTTTCTATGATAAGATAGCCTAAATCCACTTAAGGGCTCTAAATTCAATTTATTTGCAACACGTAACATTAGAGTTTCATAAGTTAACTTTTTTAATGACAGTTTTAATTAAAGATTCATGGGTAAAGGCATATATTTTAAAACACCATGAACATTCTCCCATGACCCTCCAAAACACAAATCTATTCAAACATGATCAACATTAGATGATTTCATTATTGTAAATTAATTTACTAAACAAACGAGTTGCGAAACTAAAACCTGTTGCCGGATGGGGAAGGATGTCGTTGGATATAGGAACGGATGTCGCAGGAGAGAGTGATAGATGGAGATGTAATGAGTTGCGATTTAGGGATTTAGGTTATGAGTTGCTTCTGCTGCGTAGTTATATACCCAAAACATTTGTATTGCGAAACTAAAACCTGTTGCGAATTTGAAATTCAGTGTTGCGACAGTCAGAATCGCGTTGTGATTTAAATATTCGCATTGCGATTTTATAAAATCGCAACGCGAATTTGGAAAATCGCAATGCGATAATCAAAATCGCGTTGCGAATCTGGAAATTGATTTGCGATACTGGAGATCGCGTTGCGATTTAGAGATCGCATTGCGATTTTGTTGGTCATTTTGGCAAATCGAAAAAAAGTTGATCAAAATCGTATATTATAAGGAAGTGTCATAATTACTTAAGTCCAGAACATATAAAGAAAATAATATTTACTTTACTTAATGATTTTTTTATTAATTTACTTGTAAATATTTCTTAATAAAGGAAAATTAAAATAATGATATAAAGCCTGAGATTATGTAAACTATGTCTCACCGTGTAATTAATTTTCTACCTCCAATTATGCCGTTTCACTCGTTTCTCACATGACTCCTCAATCTCCGTTGCCATCTATATATATTGGCATAGCAGCTCTCCCTCTCGAATCAGATCAGTAATCCTCTAACAATTAAACTGCAAGAAGCTTAAAAACTCCGTTTCTCTATTCGTTTTTCCTTCTTTGCAGTGAAAATGGCAGAGCCTGCAACAGCAACACAAGCAGCAGCACCAGCAGTGGCTCTGCTGAAAGATGAGCTCGACATCGTTATACCAACCATAAGGAACTTGGACTTTCTTGAGATGTGGAGGCCTTTCTTCCAGCCTTACCATCTCATCATCGTTCAAGATGGTGATCCTTCCAAGACCATCAAGGTCCCCGAGGGATTTGACTACGAGCTTTACAACAGGAATGACATCAATAGGATCCTCGGTCCTAAGGCTTCCTGCATTTCCTTCAAGGACTCTGCTTGCCGTTGCTTTGGTTACATGGTCTCCAAGAAGAAGTATATTTTCACCATTGATGATGACTGCTTTGTAAGTTCCTTTCTATTTTAGAATCTGGAGTTTACTTGTTTTAGTCGATTTTTTGGATCTCTACATTGATTTGAATTCTTGTGGTGTTTTTGTAGTGGGTTTCTGTTATTTTGGTCAAAAGTTCTATGCTTTTATTGTTTTGATGTGAGATTTGGATTAACGCATTTGTTGAATCTCCTCTGTGCCCTTCATTATGGTGTCTACAAGGTTCCCTTCACATGGAGTGCACTTTTGGCAGCTTTGCACGTTCCTAAATCATGAAAATATACCTTTCAATTATTAAGGGACTGCTTGCATTGTGATGTACAGCTATGGGATTTTAAAATCTTGGTTGTTATATATTCATGTTACACGATGAACTTCAATCTGCAAGTCAAGATCTGAGATTTGGGTCTTGTTTTTATTGTTGTTAGGTTGCTAAGGACCCATCTGGCAAAGCGATCAATGCACTCGAGCAGCACATTAAGAACCTTTTATCCCCGTCCACTCCCTTCTTCTTCAACACCCTGTACGATCCGTATCGGGAGGGTGCGGACTTTGTCCGTGGATACCCCTTCAGCCTCCGCGAGGGTGTTCCGACCGCTGTCTCTCATGGCCTTTGGCTAAACATCCCGGATTATGATGCACCAACCCAACTTGTGAAGCCTCTTGAGAGGAACACTAGGTATGAAACATGATCCCAACTTGAAAAGGTGTTTCTTGGTTATCATTAGTGATTTAATTTAGTAATACTCATGGTATATCAGGTACGTGGATGCGGTCCTAACTATTCCAAAGGGCACCTTGTTCCCCATGTGTGGGATGAATTTGGCCTTCAACCGTCAGCTGATCGGCCAAGCCATGTACTTTGGACTCATGGGCGACGGGCAGCCGATTGGACGCTACGACGATATGTGGGCTGGCTGGTGCACCAAGGTACATCCTAGTCATGTATTTGTATCACAATTGCTTTCTGTTTTAGGTATGAGAAAGAAATGTCCATTGCCTCACCATCACCAACTCACCGGATTGACGAATTTGTAGGTGATATGTGACCATTTGGGATTGGGAGTGAAAACGGGTCTGCCCTACATCTACCACAGCAAAGCAAGCAACCCATTTGTGAACCTAAGGAAGGAGTACAAGGGGATATATTGGCAGGAAGAGATCATCCCTTTCTTCCAACAGGCTGCCCTTCCAAAGGACTGCACCACTGTTCAAAAGTGCTATATTGAACTGGCAAAGCAGGTGAAGGAAAAACTTAGCAAAGTTGATCCTTACTTTGACAAGCTGGCTGATGCCATGGTCACATGGATTGAAGCCTGGGATGAGCTCAACCCAACCGGAGCTGCTGTGCCAAATGGCAAAGCAAAGTAGAAAAAATACAACCCTTTAGCTTCATAAAATGAAATAACATTTTCATTATCTATTGCATCTTTACTTCTTTGGTGGGATATTATGTAATTTAATTTTCTTTATGTTATAAAATTACTACAAATAAAATGTATTAGCATTGCTTCCATTCTATAATAAAACTCAATCTTTTTTAATATGCTGGCAGATCCCAAAAGAAACAATGGGTTTTCATTTTAAATAAAACCATATGATTATTCTTAACATCAGTACTAAACAATTCGACAAATCATATTAAGATCAAAATGAATGTTGAAAAATGCAATGTGCTTAAATTTCAAAGTAGTTTTCAAATAGAAATCAGATTCTGCAGAAGCTGATTATGGTTCAACCGTGGCTTTCAACTCAAAGATCATCAGACCCGGTAAATCAGAGCTTATGCTATGCCATTTGCGGCACCATCCTCGGTGGTATTTTCTATCTTTTGTCGTTTTGCATCACGCTCGCCATCTTGATGGTTTAGACATCCGTTTACGGCATCTTCACCCAAAAGAGATACATGTTTGTTCGTGATTTGTCGACCTGCTCTGAGCTTTGGCCCCCAGTGTCTTTCAGGATTCGGGAGGAAGCGGGCAACCTTCTTTGCTTGTGCCTTGCTCAGTGACGCAACAGCTCGTGCAAAATTTGCCTGCACAAAATAAATCCTTAGATCTCAACTTGTTTATGAACATGTTAATGTTGGACAATGCTTCAGTTCACACACAAAAACACAAAACAATGACAGAGAGGACTGGGGTTAAAGGGGGAATCATTATGCAACCACAAAAAGCAACTTGAAGGGCCGGTTCTTTGGCGAGTATCACTCTTCCAGGCTGATCAGCAGATTGAGCTTTCACTGGATGATTTTGAACCTATAGAAAGGGCAACAAAAAAAGATTATGAACCCATTTCATCAGACACTTCTCTTAATCAAGTTAATAGATGGGGTGTTGAGGTTAAATTTACAATTGCATGCAGGAGAAAACACAAAATAAAGGAAATGGAGGAGCAACACAAATGAAGTCCTTACCAGCGCATTATGTCCCAAATGACATCCATGGGAGCATCAGATTTTAGCCCAATGGGTTCACATGAGTTCCAGAAATACGATAACCTGCATTGATCACAGCGGAGCGGAATATAACTGCAGAAGGGGAAGCGCATTTTAGCGTAGAACAGAGGTTGTGCAGACTCAAAAAGAGAGGAACATCAAGCAATTCCTGCAAAACATATCCCAAACTTTGTAAAGAACATATATAAAAATCTCCAAAAACAGTACAACTCTTTTCTTTAATAGGTCAGTTTAGTCATATATATTCAGCGTAATTCCAACATCCGATACTTGCAACTTACGTAACATCTTATGCCTAATGAAATGTTTCTCAGCAATATCATATTTTAACACACCACATTTGAAATATTTTGGGTCAAGTCCAATCATATTGAGCCTTTATATTATAAAGTATTAACAGCACAGAACATAGGATGGCTCGCTGTTATTGAAATAAACCCTAATGGAAACTATGTTCTAAAGGCATAGAAACGAGCACCCAGAATAAAGTAAACAGGAAAGGAGAAAAAAGAACAGATACCTCAGAAATTGTACTCAATACAGCAGAGATGCGATCATACGCTGGAAAACGTTACTTTATGGACTTTACATCTGCTAGTATGGCGGTTACCCACTCTTGATCATGGATGGGAGCAGACCATATAGGCCCACCCATGTTAAATTTCTTCCCACAATCACTACACTCTTGAGGGACAACAGGTGCCAAACCTGGGAGACACCTCACGCTGGTATTCTGGAAATAGAAAGTGGATGTAGATCAATGAGTTGAACGAGTCGAAATTAAGCATACAGGGACAAGGAAAAATAAGCATAAGGGAGTATTTATAAAGGTAATCCGCTAAAAGTAGATTAGGAGGCCATCCTTAACGATAATAACAATAATATAAAAAGGAGGCAAATAATTGCAAGACTAAAAGGCATACACAAAACAGTGAGCAGTATGATATCAGTTAAGTAGGTTAAATTTTTTCCCCGAATCCATAAAACCTTCAAGTTGCATGAATGAGTCACAAATAGCAACATTAAGCAATTGAATGCTAAGGCCTCAGAGTGTACTTTAGTTTTCCTAAATTAGTACTCCACTATGTATATGCACAAATGGTGTAAGCCATGTACATGCTAATAACAAATAAAAGGCACCATTTGCATGATACCTCAGAAAGCACACCTTAGAAACAGTTCTCCCAATAGGTTGTAGATGAAAAGAATCACAACCAGTGCACTGATACACATATGAGAGCTTAAGGGGAGTATTCTTCATCGCACTGCATTGACGTAGTTGCTCTTCTATCATCATTTTGTTATAGTGCCATTTTACTTCAATAAACTAGATTAAAACAATAGGCCACCTACCTGTATACACAAACGAAAACACGGACATAAAAATCCATCTGGACTGATAGCAAAGGAACAATATAACGTTTGTAGCGGTTCGCATAACTCTGTTTTCAAGAAAGAAGAAAGACCAATTATGCCACATAAAAAGATTGTTATTGAATTGAATTCTAATATAAAAGCTTTGAGCTAGAAAGCATATTAATTAAGAAAATACATTTGTAAGCCAATGTATTAAAACTAACAATATACAGTTAAAGTTATCTTATCTAAAGACCATTATCAACTAGAAGTTGTTGAGTGAAAGAATAGAGGAGTCCTAGATGTTAAATGAAAGAAATAACATGCTTTCTGAGGGACATAAAACTACCTCAATGCATGCTATGAGGATCCTCAAAGCCATTTCGTGGAAATATTTCCCTCTCAATGGGTATGATCCATATCTGTTTCCGCAAACAATTATAAGATGATAAGACATATTCAAATCCATAGTTCAATTAAGGTAAGGTAAGGCAGTTTAATCTTACTTTGAATAGCAAGCCTCCCCATTACCCCCATAGAGGACTTCCATATCGGTAGCAATGCACATCAGCAAGCCCCCATCAACAACCGATTGAACTGCAGTGTCCAGGAACACAGACGGCGAACCATAAGGATCAAGATCAACTTGAAACAGAAATATATCATGAGGAGCATAAGCACCCCCTTGGACATTGCCAACAACATACAATAAAGTTGCCAATTAATTATGACATTTGGATAATAAATAACACAAAATATTCCCATAAATGGAAACTTTCTACAAAGTTCGATGTATGCATAAATACTAACTAGCATATGCTTATCTTTGAAGCAGTTGAGTATACACACTTATCAAAATGTTTTTAAACATTGTTAATTTAAAGAATAAAATAGCATATACCACATCAAATTCTTTTGGGTGGGTAAGCATGTAGACACGAGCATCAGCAAGATGTGACTCCACTTTCGAACATGCTACAGAACCATTGAACTTTATATTTCTTTGGCAAGCTTCAACTGCCCCTGCAAATAGAAACACAGTATTGGTATACATAAGAAGCAAGTCTTTGTATGTAGGGGAAAAAAAGCATGAATATAGAAGAAACCAGAAAGTCAATAGCTACAAGTCAGCTCTTGAACCAAAATTGATTCTTCATATAACATTAATACACCTACAATACCTTTATCATTGTCTAGAGCAATAACTTGACCAATCCCTTCTACTTCCAGAGCATATCTCAGACGTCTTAACCCAGATGCAGATAAGGCCTATAAAATCACCAGAAAAAGACCCCAGAAAATGACATGACTAACAATGGGGAAAAAGAATTAAAGTTAATATCTGAAAAACGGACGACTGTAAAAATACCTCTAGAACTCTTGGAGGTTTGAGCTCCCTTTGAACTTTTCCCTCTGTCTTATTATGTTCTTCTGATGTACTGCATGGTTGTTCATGAGATTTCTCTTCAGGCACATCAAATTCATTGTTCGATATTGCAGTATTAGAGCCAGATTTATCTGCTTTATCTTCAACATGAGATATAGAACCATTTTTCTCAGACACCTTGCCACTGATTTGTTTCTTTTAGACAATATTGTCTCGTATTCCTGCTTTTGCCTTGATATAAATGTCCTCAGGACTGCAGTGGACATGTCTCTGTTGTTAACCTGATAATAATAATAATAAATATTTAGATCATCTACCAAAAACAAACAATGAGGCAATCAACTAAGACTCTAATCATACTACAGCAGATGCAATATCCTACTCAAAACATTTGCAAATATAGCTATATGATATCAGTACATTACAGATTTGACAGTCTCAGTAGGCAATCACTAACAACAAAGCCAACAACCAAAAACATTTTCCACAATAAATCATTAAAATATAAGAAACCAAAAGCTTGCAATTAAAACTAAAAGAAAAACATTAAAAAGGCTAACCACAAAAGTTCATTAATTCAAATTCATTAATTCAAACACATTTTTACCGCCCTTCAACTAGATTCTCTTAGAACACCCAAAACTCATCAGAAGAGAACTTTTTCAATGAACCAAAAGTTACACATCAACTAAAACTAAGAACCCATCAATATTTCGACAATGAATTCAATAAAAACTAAATATAAAAGAAGCAAACTTGGAACCTGGGTTTTGTTGTAAAAGACTTCATTTTTAGCATGCATAAGTATCTCAGCTTCTCCTTCCTTGATGATGGTGTAATCATTGAGAACTGTAGACATATTGTCTTCATTTCATGCACTAACAAATCAGGGTTCCTTTTTTCTGAAGAAAATTTTTGTTTGCCCTGTTTTTCTAACTTTTGGTGGGGTTTGAAATTTGTTTTGAGGTCCCACAGTTTGTGATAGGAATTGAAACTCTATTTTTATTTTTAATTTTTCTTCTGCTGGTTTTTCACTTTAACGTTTGGTTTACGAATAAAAGATTAACGGAAAATAAGATTCTTGTAAATATTATATTTTTTATTTAATTGATTTAACAGGAATATAAGATTACAGTGTTTGATTAAAGGAATAAAAGATTATTAGAATAAAAGATTATTGGAATAAAAGATTATTAGAATGTATATTTTATCAAATTATCCTTATTATATATTTTATTTTTTAATAAGTTGAATTCTACTATAATATTACTATAATTAATTTATATATTTTCTTTAAAAAATTAAATTCATAAAATTATATAA